CAAAGGCATAGCTATATGGTCTGAGAACCATGAAGTCAGAGCCTAGCAGCTTGTGATGACCGTAATGACCAGCATTGAAAGTGCCCTAGTTGTACAGTGAGATACAAAATTGTGTTGTGCCTTCCTGCTTAGGCCTAATGCTTTACTCTTCTTGTCAATTCTCTGGGTTTCAAAGTGTATACATTAACCTTTACTAAACTCTCACTCTCCTTCAGTTGCCCAGAGTTGATTTCTGGTGGCACCAGAAAATTGGAACCAGGAAACAGATAACTGGCCAGACCCTCGGATAATTAAAGAAAATTTGTTTCTGGCCTAGAATGTTACACTAGTGTTCATGGAAAGGGTTTGTTAAGTCCTTACCATTAAGGATAACTACCACCTTTGATCCTACAGAATGCTTTAGGTGATTGAAAGAGTAATACCAAGAACAGAACAACAAGAATGAGGTAGAGCTTTTGCTATCGTGAAAATGTAGATAACTGAAAAGAAAGAAATGTTAAGGTCAAATCCCTATAAATTAGACTCTAGTACTACTGAAACCCAGGTACTACTAAGAATGGGATCTTTCTGGTTTTTTTTTCTTACAACAGAGATGAGGTAGTCATGACACAAATGCATGCCATTTAATGCTCTGGGTTGCTGAATTACAATTCAGTTATATTTACATTCACATTGAGACTATTATATGAAGGTTGTAACTTTGAAATGGAGGTGTATGGGAGAATCTGAGGAGTTGGGAGCATCCTGAATGCCTAGTTTCCTGCAGTCACCCCTTGCCACCTGGGGAACACCTCCTCTATTGTTGAAGGACGCTGTTCCTCTCTGGCTTGAAGACAGTCAAACCTGCTTGCCCAAGAGAATTCCACTGTGAGAGAAGCAAAGCAATTTCCCAGCTGCTTCATCCTTGAACACACACATACTATTATAATAACATTACATAGAAGCAGTGTATGTGGGATTGATTACAAAAGCACCAAAAGAATTATATAAGATTTCAGTCATTTATAAGGATAAACATACAGAAAATAAGTTCAGGAACAGATTCCAAGTGTGGTAAACCAAGGAAGGAAAAGCAATTTTAGATTCAGTTGACTTTGTTGACATAGGCACATTTATCAGAAATCAGAATTCAAAATCTATGCCTCAGTGGCTGAGAGTGATTCTAAATGTTTGCCCAGCTGGCTGGCTGAAAATTGGACTCAGTGAAGACATATGCTTAAAGGAAGCTGAGATACCATATATTTTGGGGAGATAATGTGGAAGGACAGAAATAATATTACCCAAGTTATTCTTTCATCACATTCTCCATCTTTAGACCCTAAAAGAACCCAAAACATTCCTCCTAGTATAAGATCAGGAAAATAATTAGCAATTAGAGATCCTACACCTCTGAAAAATTATTTATTGGCAAAGTTAGGAAACACTGAAATCAGATTGCCCATTTTGTTGTCAAAGATAGAAGAGGACAAACCGAGACATTTAAAAGTAGGAAAGTAGGCTTAATTCCATCAAGAGGCAGCAAGACCAGAGGGTAACAGCCTGCATGAATGGCTAGCAAGGGCCAATCAAGGGTTTGAATAACTAGGTAGCCTCTTAACCCTTTCAACCAAAACACTAAACCATAGTCAGCACTGTCTTCTCTAAATGGTAACACAAATTAAATTAGTGGATATGAGTCCTGAAGAACAAAAGTCATGCAAGTTATCCCTCGGTCAGAATAAATAGTTCTGCAAAGTAAAGGTGGAAAGGAAGGGCTTGAGGTATGTATAATTACATTTACAGTCAATCTACATAAGTATTCTCTCATATTCCTAAGCTCTCCTAGATAGAGAACCCAAAATGAAGTAGTTCCATTAGTATTACAATAATTGTTTCAACTAGAAACTGAGTCTGCCACTTAATTTCTATACATCACAAAGCCAAAAGCACCCCTCAAAAGGAAAAGTCATAAGCAACATGATTTTGAGTGTCAAGGGGGAAATATAATAGGATAACAGAAAAGCATTTGCTATCTACTGGTGTTACCCAGTTTTGTGTTTAAAAAATATCCAGGACTATGAAAAACACTACCAAGGATACAGATCTGACAAAAGCAGGAAACACATCCATTCTTGATCTCCAAACAGATAAAAGGCTATGCCCAAGAAAGTTATTTGAAGGAAAAGTTAGTTATAAGCAAATGAAAAGGGCAGACAATGTAAGAGGGAATACACAAATACCAATTATGGCCTCAAAATCAGTGCAGAAAAATGACAGCATCAATTCATTTATATTATGTTCCTTGTGTCACAAACATTTATAAATTTTAATCAACCTTCTTATTCTTTCTTGTCTGTTTTTCCCCATTATTTTCTAAAGGCAGTACTGAATGGCTAACTTTACAATTGGAGCAAAAGGTTTCAAAATGCATAAATAAAAGAAATGGACAGTACGCAAGAATCCAAGACTTGAAGCCAGATGTAGCAATTTGATTTGAAAGACAGGGGTTATTATCTGACTTCAGGAAAAATAACAATTTTTTCATTTACACAAAGGAATACATTACAGCAGGGAACAATAATTTTCTAAAACATAGCCATGATTAAAGGTAGGCATAGATGTTGGAGTGTACAAATGACAGATTACAATGTATGTTATTTTTGTTGAATTGCTTCTATTTGGAGGAAATTTCCAAGATCAAAGAAACAATATTCTCCCTCTTACTATAAGAACCAGAATGGAGCAGACAATCCCTCTCCCTCTGTTCTGAAACAGTGTGTGAGCATACGCCCTGAACATAACCAATTGGTGAGCCTCATGCGGATTTTTGACTCTTGGGGACAAGGGAAGGTCAGTAAGAACCCAGTAGAATGTGAGCTCAAAGAGGAACATTGTTCCTTTTTATTAACTGTACTTAGAAAGGCATTAACCATACAGTAATTACTTTAAGATATTTTTAAATGGAAAAGGAGGCCAGAATGAGAATCAAAGGTCCAATGACACTGTTGAAAATACCCAATGGGCAAGGCCAGCACTGTAATGTCTAGAGATGCCAGTGCCAGGAATGATATAACAAGTAGAATATGAGTTTACACCATGGTTGTCATTGTATCTCTTGATCCTTTCATAATATTGGTGCCTCACACTGTCCAATGATTTAGCTTCTCCAGTGTCCTTGCAATAAATTCCTCTCTTGATTGAAGCTTATCATAGTTGGATTTTGAGAGGATTCAAGAACGCTGAGTAGGGGGTGGTGCTGTTGTATAGTGGGTAAAGACTCTGCCTGCAAATGGCTCGCATCCTAAATGGGCCCTGGTTTGAGTCCTGGTTATTCTACTTCCTACTCAGTTTTCTGTTAATGTGCCTGGGAAATCAGTAGAGGATGGCCAAGCATTTGCACCCCTGCAGGACCTGAAGCAGCTCTTGGTTTCTGGCTTCGTTCTGACCCAGCCCTGACTACTGCAGCCATTTGGAGAATGAACCAGTAGATAGAGCTTGTTTCTCTCTCTCTCTCTCTCTCTCTCTTGTTCTCTCACGCTCATTCTCTGTGTGTCTATGTGTTTGTGTTTGTGTGTATGTGTGTGTGTTCAACTCTTCCTTCCAAATAAGTAAAATCAATCTGTACCAACTAGTGCACATGCATAAATCCATACTAGGTAATTACATCATCAGGGACAGAAAACATTATCTTCTTGTAACAGACTGGAAATGACGCAAATGGTGATGCTAAACTTATGCCCAAAGTCAGAATATTTACTTCTTTCATTAATACATTAGATGCAACTACATGAAATTACAGATATTAGGCAATTTATTTTAACCTAAAAAATCTCACATAGCTCAATCTGATTTATTTGATTGTATTAAGACATAGCACCTGTGCCTGGACGTTCTTAGCTAATATTTAAGTTTTTCCCAGGAGCTGCTGTGGTGGCCTATCAAGCTAACCCCATAGAGGCACTGGTTGTGTCCCAGCCACTCCACTTCTGTTCAAGCTCCCTGCTGATGCCCTGGAAAGGCCCGGGAGGATGGCCCAAGGCCTTAGCCCCTGCATTCACATGAAGAAGAAGCTCCTGAATCCCATTCCCGACTGCCTCAGCTCTGGCCATGGCAACCATGTGACTAGTGACCTAGAAATAGAAAAGCTCTCTCTGTTTCTCTCTCTGTCTCTGTTTCTCTTTCTTTCTCTGTGACTCTTTCAGGCACAATAAATAAATCTTTTTAAAAAGTAATCTTCAAAGACTTTGGTTAATTTTTCTGATTCGTTCAAATGCTTAGGCTTTATACTCTGGTTTAGCATGCAGAGTGTCAACTCCCAGACTCAGGTCTACATATGACAGAGAACTCTGCAAGGAAACAAGATATGTTCAGTAACAGTTAATTAGAATCACAAAAATACGCAACCAGAAGCGCCAAGTAATTTGACATTCAGCCCTAACTTCATTCTATTTGTCTAAAGCAAGAAATGGTGTTATTTTTAAAATAATTAAAATGCCTAGCAATCTGTTTTAGTGAGGTTTTTTCCTCTTGTTTATTTGCCTATGTCATATACCTGCTACTTTCCTTCTACATTATCAGGGTATTCAAGGTAGTACAGCCCAGTCCTGTTCTCAAATTCGTGAACCCACTGCGCATGTGCCACAATGTCCATACTGCAGAATTTAGTCTAACCTAAAACAGAGTATGAGTCAAAAGACCAATTTTGGGGACAGGTTTTTAAAATGTGCTCCCAGAGAAGTGACTGATGATATAAAGTGTGGAGTGGGGACTAGTAATTGGAATTAGTGAGATACTTTCTCAGTGATTTTTATTTTAAGAATTTTTACTAGAAGAAACAAATGGGAAAATGAGAGAAAACAGGCTTGTGTTTCTTCCTCAAAAAAAAAAAAGCCTATTATCAGAGGCTTTGAAGAAGGATTCAATACAAATTATTAGATTTTTCTCTAAAGTAATAGTTTCTGCATCACTCAACACTCTCTGATGTGCTCACTCAGCTGATGAGAGATTTTTTTTTTTCTTACCTGAATGGCACTTCTTCCTGTGGAACGTCCACATAGTAACGAATAAAAAATCTTTCAGAATCTTCTCGTTCCCCATCCGTAACAACACTGCCATTAAGTTTGGAAACTGAAGGCAATCTGTAAGTCAAAACCGACACGTACATTTTAAAGTATTAAAAATATTTACTTTTAGCAATAAAAATAATTGGTCTGAGGAGCAGTTTTATTCTAAGTACATATGACATGTGCTTATGTGCAACTACTGATACAACCCAGTGTGGCAGAAAATAAAATACCAAAAACAAAATCTGGTTTGATATTTTGATGTGAAACTGACCATCATAATCACATTTCATCTTTCAAAATAAGATTTTACTTGGCAGGCTCAGCACAATGGTTCAGTGGCTAAATCCCTCGCTTTGCACATGCTAGGATCCCGTATGGGTTCCAGTTGGTGTCCGGCAGCCTCACTTCCTATCCAGCTCCCTGCTTGTGGCCTGGGAAATCAGCAGAGGGTGGCCCAAAGCCTTAGGACCCTGTGCCCATGTGGGCGACCAGGAGGAAGCTCCTGGCTCATGGCTTCAGATTGGAGTGACCCAGTGGATAGAAGGTCTCTCTCTCTCTGCACTGCCTTATCTCTGTAAATCTGCCTTTCCAATAAAAACAAATAAACCTTAAAAAAAAATTCTACTTTGCTCTGCCCAACTTAAATAAAGGCAATGCAAGCCCCACGCCTAATTTTAAATTCTTTTAATAGTCAGTTTTGTAAAGTTAAAACAACAGATATAACTAATTTTAATAATTCCTTTGATTACTTTAATATATCCAGAATATAATCATTTTATAGGTAATATTAAAACAATGAGCTACTTATTATGTTCTTTTACTCAAATAAGGTATTTGAAACCCACTGTCTATTTCACACTAATAGAACATTTCAATTTAGACAAGACATATATAAAGTGCTCAGAGCCATCAATAGCCAGTGACTACAACATTAAACAACACAGACCTAGACAGTAATTAGTACAATGTGGTTACAGTATTTATAATTTAATTGATTATATTTGAAAGGGATTGTGTAAATGAAATAAAATATTGCAAGATTTATTAACCTGTGTTTTGAAAAAGATTTATTTATTTACTTGAAAGAGTTACAGGTGGGGGAGAGAAACAAAGACATCTTCGAATCACTGGTTCACTCCCCAAATGGCTGCAATGGTCAGAGCTGGCATGGTCTGACACCAGGGTGTGGGACTCAAAGCCTTTGGCCATCCTCTGCTATCAATAGGCAGCTGATGAAGTGGAGCACGAAAGACACCTGTATTGGATGCTGGTGTCACAGGTAGAGGACCACACTGACCAAGACTTATTACTCTTGAAAGACAAGTATGTTGGTATTTTTTTCTTCAGTGAGATATTAATATTAAGGATCAGCGAGGCATTAGTTGGTCAGAAAGATCAATACCCTGCTTAAAGAACCACTCTTCTTCAGGGAAAAATAAAGCTTATACTGCTTCCTTCATCAAATTAATATGTATAATACACAAACAGAACAAAGCCAAGCTCCATGTTCACTTACAAAAGAGCCACAATCTTACTTCTGCTAAAAGTTTATACAAAAATAAACGCTCGTGAAAAATTCCAGGAGCCAGTGGTGGCAGAGTCCAAGACATGAAGAGCCACAGAAGTCCTAGGATGGACACATCATGTCCAGGAGTCAGTCTACATCCGAAGCAACAGACACATTTTGTTCTCTTAGGTTTATCACTAAAGAAAGAGCCCAGTTTTCAGGTATTTTTACTTTATAAAGCCAGTGTGAGAGCAAAAAAATAAGGACAACTGAATATTTCCATATGATGTAGATTTGTGCTTCATGGCCAAGACAGGATTCAAATATTATTCAAATATTCTGAGTACTGAGTAGCATAAAAATAGAACAGATCTGTGAGAGAATTTTGTTTAGCCATCTTGCAAGGCAATTGTATTTCATGCATTCCTTATCCGTCTGCATCCCTTTTCATCCAGGATTTAGAATCTCAAAAGCAGTTTCTCCAGCACACCCTGCTCAAAAGATGGATAAACTCACAGGGCCCTACTCCCCTTTTAAGGAAATAAAAAGAAAGCAGGCAATGTCAGGACAACGCACCTGGCTACCACCAGTTTCCTTCGCTCCTCAGTGGTATATGGCTGCAGAAGAGGAATTCCTAACAACCTTACTTCTTCAAGTTTGGGGAATGAATTTAGTTTGTCAATGTCTTCCCAGGACTGCAAACCTAATTTGAGAAAAAAAAATATTAGTAGAGTAAATCAAGAAAAGCACACAAATCGGAAGGTAAATGAAGCAAAAAATTACTTCCATAATTTATGAGATGTTAAAATGATCGTAAATTAGAGCCTGAAGTTTTTCTTCAGTGAAGGAATGAGTAGAATATAATCAAATACCATAAGCCTGTTCCCATAGTTTTTCCCATCTATGTGAGCCTGGTAGTCAAGGAAGGGGATCCATCTACTGGTCTACCACGATGGCTTATAGGGAGGGTCACTGGCAGTTTCAAGAAAAAGGGTGTATGCCATGATTATTCAGTTTTAAAAAGTGATATGAGCAACTCATATTACTCACATATAGACACATGGAATGTAACTACTGATCAGATTGATACTGTCATACTCCGACTTTTATCTGACAATTTCTAAAATGGGACACAGCTAACAGAAAGTAAGTATTATCTCCATGTTTCCCTCATCTTGGTGATGGAAAAAATATCTAGAACTATAGCTGAAACAAACCAAAACAAAACAAAACAAAAAAAATCTGAATCTCTGAATACAAGAACATACTGTAAGTTAATATTTTTATATCAGTAAATTCAAATAACATTGTCCATGTAGTTGTATGTGTATATAAATATCACCCCAAACAATGCTCAACTTCCTAGTCAGGTAGGAGTTCCAAAAAGGAGAAATATCCTGGTAGGAACGCAGCTGGTTCATCTTACAACATATGGAACCTCCTAGAAAACACAGACCTCCTTTTCTATTTCCATCAACCTCTCCCAAGGCCAAAGCTTGAGGAGCAGCTTCTGAAGGCCTTAGCACTAAAACTGTGTCCAGTCATAACCGCGGTCTCCCCTCAGAATGGCGTTTCCAGCTAGGAAAAGCACAGAGACAGACTGAGGGACAGCAAGTTATCAAGTAAACAGCTTTCCTCAGTAAAAACTCATCTTTAAATCTTAATGCCATCTCTTATAACCTTTACAGTAAATTAGACTATTTAGTTTTCTCAGTTGTAGATGTTTAACTGTGTAGTCGTTCTAAGACAAAGCTGAAAGATAACACCAAAAGAATGAGAATAAAAATCATACATTAGAAAAAAAAAAGCAAATATTACATGCTTTTCCTAATACGTGATAACATACAGAGTGATAATGTATGCAATCTATGGGTGCAAGAGTAACATTCTAGGGTTTGATTACTGGATATAGTCTTTGTTTCTACTCCCAAGAAACAGTTAGGTGTCTAGCTTTTCGTTCCTCTGGGCTTTTGTTTTTGTTATTACTGTTGCTGTCATTTTCAACTTGTCATGTGTTGGTGGTATCTTTACCTAATAAAGTGTTAAATTAGCAAATGCAAAGTGAAATGAAACTGTATTGGAAAGACTAGAAAAAAAAAGATATAAGAAAGGGGGAAAGTGGATGGCAAATGTAGGTGGGAGAGGGTAGGATAAGAAATACCAATAAGCTCCTAAATGTGTATCACGATCTAGGTGAAAATTATCCATTTTACATATTTTTTTAATCACACATTAGGAAAACACATTTTTTTGTAAAGTAAAATATATTTTTGCATCAGATAAAGGATCATTAGGCAAAATAAAAGTACTCAGAGAAATCTTAAACGCAACAATAAGAGGCCAGTGTTGTGGCAGAGCAAGTTAAGCTACTGACTGCATTGCCAGCATTTCATATAGGCACCAGTTTGAGTCCTGGCTGCTATACTTCCAATCCAGCTCCTTGCTAATGTGTCTGAGAAAGCAGCAGAATATGGCTCAGTGCTTGGGCTCCTACAGCTGAGTGAGAAATCACCCTGGAGCATCAGGCTCCTAGCTTCAGCCTGCACCAGACCCAGTTATTGAATCAAATGATGATGGTTCTCTCTCTCTCTCTCTCTGCTTGCTCTCTGTTCTCCCCTCACCCCACCACCACGACTCTGATTTTCAGATAAGTAAGTAAATCTTTTAAAAAAGGTTAACCGTAAGGGAAAATGCAAGACAGCAGCTGAGTAAGATAACTCCAGGCATGCTTGCCCCACCTCAATGTGAACAGCTATTAACTGAAATGTAAGAAAGAACTATTTCTGAAGTCACCCGTAGCCCAACTCCAAGCAGCAAAACCCAAAGACAGAGAGAGATTGATTGATTGTCACTTGCAGAGAGAATGAATTAAGCCCAGACTTGAGAATTAACTCAGTGCCTAGTCTGCCATACCAAAACTCAGTGCCATACATCCTTACAACCCCACCCTTAGATCTGTTCTTACAAACCACGCTTCTGTACTCTTTTAAGCCAGAAAGTCCACCCTCACCTTGCCCCTACTTCAGAAAGATAGTAGAGCAGAACTTCAGCTACCGAGGCGTGGGGTAGGAACCCGAGAACAGGACTTTGCCTTGGAGCTTTGTGCCACACGTGCTACTTGGAAAGATACAAAATTAGAGATGAAAAAGGGCAATATTAAACTAACATTATGGAAGTGTAAAGAATTATTAGAGATTATTATGAACAATCAAATACTAGCAAATTTGATCATCCACAAGTGAACAAATTCCTAGAATACTTTACCAAGAATGAATCATGCAGAAAAAATTCCTAAAAATATCAACAACAACAAGACTGAATCAGTAATTTTAAGACACTCAAACTGTCCTTGTTCTCCCAACAAACTCCATAGGCTCCCAATAAAGAAAAGTCTAACATAAGATGGCTTAACAATTCAAGGACTAAAACCAATTCTTCTTAAATGACTCCAAAAGTCAGGAGAGATAGGAATTTTTCTAAACTCATTCTATAAGGCCACCAGTACAAAAAAGTTCAAAGACACAACAAAAATAGCAAAAGCTACCGACCAATATCCTTGATGAGCACAAATGCAAAATCCTCAACAAAATGCTAGCAAACTGAATTCAAGAACACATTAAAAAGACTACTTATTATAACCAAAAGAGATTTATCCCAGCAACACAAAGGCTGTTCAACAAAAGCAAATCACAAAATGTGATGTCTTTTACCTTGCTAATGTGGTACAAAAATAATGTACTAACCTAAATAGGCACGGAAAGAGCATTTGATACAACAGTATCCCTTCATAATAAAAACTTTGGACAGAACAGGTATAGAATAATTTACATCAACACAATAAAGGCCATAAATAACCAAGTCAACAGCTAACATTATACTAAATGGGGAGAAGCTGAGGTTTTTCTCAGATCTGGAAGACAAGGACACTCACTTCCTTCCATCACTTGTATTCAATACAATATTGGAAGTTCTGGGCAGAATAAACTGAGCATGAAAGAGAAACAAAGGGAATCCAAGTTGGAAAGGGGAAATTATGAAACTGTCACTGTTGCAAATAACATGATCTTTTAAAAAATATTTACTTTTATTGCAAAGTCAAATATATACAGAGAGGAGGAGAGACAAAGAGGAAGATCCTGGGTTCATGATTCACTCCCCAAGTGGCCACAATGACCGGAGCTATGCTGATCCAAAGCCAGGGGCTTGATCCAGGTCTCCCATACAGGTGCAGGGTCCCAAGGCTTTGGGCCATCCTCAGTTGCTTTCCCAGGTCACAGCAAAAAGTTGGATGGGAAGCAGGGCTGCTGAGATTAGAACTGGCACCCATATGGGATCCCGACACATTCAAGGTGAGGACTTCAGCTGCTAGGCCACTGCGCCGGGTCCATGACATGATCTTTTACACAGAAAATCCCAAAGACTCAGAAAAAAATAATTTTTTCCCCAAGATTAGGTGGTATGACTGTGCAGATCACAGAGGGTTTTTATGGAAGTGAATCAGTGCCATAAAACACTGTAAGAGTAGACATGAGGCATGATACACGTGTCAAAATCCATAGAACATACAACAGCAAGAGTGAACCCTAATAAAATCTGGATTTGGTATGAAATGATATGTCAGTGCAGGCTCACTGACTGAAGAGGTACAAATGTGCTACTTTGGTACAGATGCCTATACTAGAGAAAACTGCAGAAAACATGGCAATTCTCTGTGGTTTCTGCCCAATCCTCTCCCTTCTGTACAGCCTGCAACAAATCCAGACTGCTCCAAACTTCTGGTAATAGAACTGCTTGCTGTTATACTATGAAGTATGGAAGGCACAAAAGTCTTCATGTGTTGGGCTGGCATGGTGGCCTGGTGCAATAATCTACCTGCAGTACTGTCATTCCATATAGACATCAGTTCATGTCCCAGCTGCTCCACTTCCCATCCATTTCCCTGTTTATGGCCTGGGAGAGTAGTGGAGGATGAGTCAAAGTTCTTGGACCTTTGCAGCCACATGGAAAAACCTGGAGGAGGCTCCTAGCTCCTGGTTTTGGATCAGTTTAGCTCCAGCCGTTACAGATACCTGGTGGGTCAACCAGCAGACAGAAGGCCTCTCTGTATCTCCTTCTCTCTGTAAATCTGCCTTTCAAATATTTTAATTAAATCTTTCTTTGAAAAAAATCTACATGTGGCATATGCCTTGGCCAACTTCAAAGGGGTTTGTGCTAGGAGTTCTGCTGCGATGGTCTACAATGGAAAAAACACATTAGAGGGCCTATGGTGGTTCCATGTGTGCTATGTGTGTCCATGACAGGATCAAATGGGCTTTCCTTATTTGGGAGCAGAAAATCATTGTGCAAGTGTTGAAGGCAATAAACAAACTAAGGAAGGTAAATTGAAAAAAAAATGAAGCCTTTGTGTAATTAAAAACCTAAAACTACTGTAAAGAACAAAACTGATTAATTGCAAAAAGGGAAATAGGTTAAATATATTCATTCCTGTGATAAATGTGTCCCACAGCAATAAACTCCAACTAATTATGCAGAGATACTAGAAAAAAGTGAGCACTTGCAAAGACAGAGAATATTGGGATTCTTGTGTACAGAGAACATGATCTCATTTGTAATTCCTTGTGCCCTCTCTTACTCTGCCTTTTACTATCAGATTCATCAATTTCACTCGACTCCTTCCTTAGCATAACCTCTTTAATGTATAAGCTATAAATTGCTGACACAGTGCTATGTCACTTAATATTTATCAGTCCATTTATGAAAATGAAGCTTTTATATTTAGCTTAACAACAGGCATCTGCGTGTCGTGTTGAAAATTCATCCTCTGAAAGAGTAGAGTTACGACTGCCAGACACAGACTCGCTGTATTTCATGCGGAAGCTCAGATCATTCTGCACGTGGAGTGAGAAGCAGCCTGTAGCTCACCTGACTTATGGAGGCTGATGGATCGCAGATTGGGGAACAACCTGGCTAATGAATCATCAGGCTCCTCAATGGCATTCAAATGATTGTTGGCCAATACAAGGGTATCCAGTGAAGGAAACATAACTCCCAGCTTCCGTATTTCAGTCCAGTCTTGGAGGTTATTGTCTGTTATATGTAGTAGTTTAAGAGAATGACAGCAAATAGAAGGACAAGACACTGTTTCATAGTCATTAAGGCACAGGAAAAGCTCCTCCAAACTGCAGAGAGAGAGAGAAATAAAAAAAAGAAATATTTCACTGGTTAAAGCAGTTTAGTTTCTACTTGACACTTGTTTTCCATTTAGTTAGCAGATAAAGAAATGCCTATGATACGGTAAATCAAAATATATCAAGGAAGAGAAAGCTTAAACTACACAAGATGGAAAAATTATATTAGCTTACACCAAATTAATTTTGTACTTAATTAAGCACTAAACTAAGCTGTATTAACTGAAAGCAACAGTAGCTAATATAGCAATGACACTGACAATGTAGTCAGGAAAATCAGAAAAGGGGACATAGCCCTGAAAGCAGAGTAGACTTGTACTTGTTGAGAGAAGGTAGAAGAAAATTCTATAAATAAAATGAACAAATGTTTAGAAATAATAACTACCATTTACTGAGTTCCTACCCTAGCTCATGTTGTTTGCCAATACATTATAGATTTTACTTTTCTTTATGCAAGGTAAATACAAATTATGCCCATTTTATGGGCAAGGAAAGCAGTTGAGCTCAACTCTTAATCATTGCTAAGCAGCTCAGCAAAGTTCATTTGGTGGCTTATTAGGACTGAAATTTAAAGGCTCATTGTATCCAGGCTGCATATGGCAAGGAAACTGGTTTCACGAAAGTGAGAGAGAGAGAGATTACGACTGAATAAGATTTTGAGGGACTTCATTATTTTCTTCTCAATATTTAAACAAACTAAAACATCACATATTTCTTCAAACTACAAAATATACAAACAAACCATGATAAGGATTTCCAAACGGACACAGTGTAATTTCTTTCATTATTCAAAAGAATACAAAGTCCATTTTTTTTTTTTGTTAGACCAGCTAGGCACATAAACATGTAGATGCTAACATATTTCAGAGATACTAAGATCTTTGTCTTCCCAAAGAAAATGCCAGAAGCAAAATTCTTCATTCAGGTAATCAGAAGATTAAAATGAAGAAAGACTGAGTTGATCTAGAAGTGATAAGTGCTTCTCAGGGGTATTTTCTAGACAGAAGGTTACATATCCTATGTCTTGGTGCAACTCAACACTGAACAAGTATTCCATTGGAAATGCTACTGGGTTACTCTCCCACCTTCATTCTCATTACTTCGTTTTTTTCTAACCTCTTTCTCCACCCAATCTACAGTTCTAGTATTTCCTAGATGGGAGATCAGCAGTAAGTCTACGTACTAACACAGGTGGCAATATAGCTCCTTCTTCACGCTGCTTCCTTCAACTTACTCTGGTAACTCCTGCAGGATTGTATGGACTGTCTCCCATGAAGCTTTGCTGTTGTTGAGGACAAGTTTGCGAACCCCAGAGAAGGACCCAGCACATGTTCTTTCTAAAACCGATAAATTCAAAGGGTTGGAACTCAGGTTTAGAAACTCCAACTGGGGAACATTTGATACAATTTTACTGACCTATGGAGAAAAAAAGAAAAGCGTATCAGGTAGTAATCAGATTCTAAATAGCAATCACATTCAAGCAAGCCTGAGTGAGTATGTCTCCAGGCAAGGGGCCTTTACCTCGGGGAGTCCTACCCAATTGCAGTGTCCACCGAGGGGACACAGGTGATTTCAATAACTCTTGGCAAATAATTAATCTCTTTCTATGAAATAGTGGTACAAATAACAATGGCATCAAAGAAAGATTCTCCCTGTGTCCCTTGAGCAAGAGTTCTGATTCTGCTCTATATGATGCTTGCTTTGACAAACGAAGAAATGATGCTTCAGCAGCCATTTTAGGCCATAAGTTTTTAAAGATCTGAGATTGGCTCGTATAATTCTCTCTAAATTTCTCCTTTCTCTCAGACTCAGCACAACATTAAGGCTAATTAAAGGTTTAAAACCACCTGGTAACAATCCATGTACTCACAAATAAGCAATCATGATAAGTTAGAAAACTGCTCTAGTTTGAATAAAAGACACTAAAATCTAGGCCCCAGCATAATATCCTGGCAGCTAAATCCTCGCCTTGCACTCACCGGAATTCCATACAGGCACTGGTTCATATCCCAGATGCTCTACTTCCCTTCCAGCTCCCTGCTTGTGGCTTAGGAAAGCAGTAGGGGATGGCCCAAAGCCTTGGGACCCTGCACTGGCATGGGAGACCCAGAAGAAGCTCCTGGCTCCTGACTTTAGATCAGTTTAGCGCCAGCCATTGCAGCCACTTGGGGGGCGAACCAAAGAACAAAAGATCTTAGTCTCTGCTTCACTCTGTAGATCTGACTTCCCAATAAAATTAAATACATTTTTAAAAAGATATCAAACTCTGAAGACACATTTACTCAGTATCAAAAGACATCCATGGCTATATAAAGAAAGTAGTGGACAACGGCAGAAACATCCCACATTAGAGTGCCTAGCTAGGCTCAGCTCCCACTTGTACTTCCGTTTCCAGGTCTCTGCTAATGCACACCCTGAAAGGTAGCTCCTGAGTCTGGATACCTCTGTGGGGGATCCAGATGGGCATCCTGACTTAGCTTCTGCCTGGGCCTGGGCCAGCCCGGGCTGCTGCACACATCAGGGAGGGGGAACCGGTGCTTGGATGATCTTGCACTCCCACTCTTGCTCTTCCTTCTCCCCACCCCCACCTCCCCTGCCTTTCAAATAAGATGAGAATAAATTTTAAAGAGAGAAAACATGATCATCAAGTCAATGTTTTACTAACAATTTAGCAGACAAAACAGCAACAAAAAAGAAATGAGATTATAGACCTGACTCTCTGCTCTGCCTAGTACTACACCTTTAAGATAGCTTATTTCACTAAATCCTCAAAACAACTTGCAAGATAAATATGCCGGTTTGCATTTTCATAAATGAGGAAAGTAAGGCTTAGGGATGTTAAATAATTTGACTAGAGCCTTACACTCACAAAAGGTACTACTGGAATTTAAAAATCAAAATCACTGTTCTAACATAACACAATGAATATAAGTATAAAAAGGAAGCTGGATCTAAATATTGAAGAGTAATTGGCATAATTCAGTGAAAAGAAATAAACAAATATGAAATTAATGTAACATGCCTGAAAAATTTAACAAGCATAAAACACCCAGCCAATGTAGTAACTGGTATAAGAAATGGTATATAAAAGAATAATTAGGATTAGTTATTCAGGTGGAAACCATGGGTTCAAACCAGGTTCCAACACTTACTGGAGATGTGTTCTCAGACAAGTTACCCAACCTTCCTAAATCCTATTTCTCAAAAGGTACAGGATTATTGGTAGAATTGACATGTAACACTTTCAGCACAGCAATGATCACATCTTTCTGAAACTCATTTCCTTGTTCCCTTCCCTGACAACACATAAATTCTATTAAAGCAATTTGCTTCTGTACGGTGATCATTTTTATTGAATAAATTAATGGTACAAAATCATTCAACAAGTACAACAAATACTAATACGATAAATACAGTATGAACCAATATTTCAACCCTGACTGTCCGTTAGAATCATTGTTAGAATGTTTAAAATATATTGACTCACAAGTTCCACTGTAGAAGCCTTCAGAGATTGAGTATAAATTTGTTTCTCTGTGGGTCAGGTGCAGTAGCCTAGTAGCTACGTCTTCACCTTGTATGCACTGGGGTCCCATATGGGTGCCAGTTCATGTCCCAGCTGCTACCATGTCCCATTCGGCTCCCTGCTTGTGTTCTGGGAAAGCAATACAAGATAACTCTAAGTCTTGGGACCCTGCACTGGCATGGAAGACCCGGAAGAGGCTCCTGGCTTCGTTTCGGCTCAGCTCTGACTGTTGTGACCATTTGGGGAGTGAATCAGTGAACAGAAGATCTTTCTCTCTTTTTCTCCTCTTTGTCTGCCTTTCCAAGAAAAATACATAAGTTTTTTTTTTTTTTTTTAAAAAAAGTGTCTCTCTGGCAAGCTCTAGTCATAACACCTAAAGTATTCATACAAGGGGAAAATCACATGTAGAAAGCAAATCAGCTTTACCTTGTAATAGACCTGTGGATGCACTCAGCTCAGGAGCTCTCCAATCAGAAGTAGATCAATTCTAAGGAGGTTCAGAGGAGAAACCACAAAGGTCCTCACATTTACCGTTTCATCTGTTCCACAGATGTATCTTTGAAACGCATACCACATTTACCAACATTTCACAAATGAACTACTGTTGTAGAGAAAACTTGTATCGCTCTGCACACCCTATCTTCTTTATCTCATTTGTGACCAATTGAGCCCAGTCCTTTGTGCACCCCCTGGCTGGATCTGGGAGTTTAGTCTGTGACCCCAGCCCAGACACAACAGGGGATACCTACACTGCATTCAAGGACTCGAATCCTAGCATGGCAAACTTCCATGGAGAAGCTATGTTTACTTCAGCCATTGTTTATCAAATAAATAAATAAGTAAGTAATCAGAGTTAGAGAGAAGAGACAGAGAGAAGTCTTCCAGGCAGTTACTAGTTCATTCCCCAGATGGCCACATTGGCTTTGGCCAGACCAACGTCAGGAGTAAGGAACTCCATCCATGCTGCCCACATGGGTGGCAGGGGCCCAAACATGGGCCACTATCTGGGAGCTGGATCAGAAGTCGAGCAACTGGGACACGAACCAGCACACACAAGATGATAGTGCTGCAGGCAGCTTTATTCATTAAGGCACAATACCTACTCCTATATTTTATCTCTTCTAAGGCAAAAAAAGAGGGACTAAAGCAGAAATAACTACTAATTACAGAGCAATTCCAATTACATAAAAACAAAACGAATCCCTTTATTACATATACTTTCCCCACATTTTATTTATATAAGTACTTAAAAGTTCATAGAAAATACATATTATGAAAGCCTATGCATGGATTTCAATTTTTTACATCAGAATACTTTTAATTTCATTTTTCTGATGATGTTTACAAAAAATAATTGGAAGGCAGAGTTATAGAGAGAGATCTCCCATTCACTGTTTAACACCCCAAATGGCTGCAAAGGCTAGAGTTGGACTAATCCAAAGCTGGGAGTTAGGAGATGCTTCTGGGTCTGCTATTTGGGTGCAGAAGCCCCAGGACTTAGGCCAGACTCGGCTGTTTTCCCAGACCATAAGCAACCAGCTGGACTGGAAGTGCAGCAGCCAAGACCTGAATTGCATCCATGGAGGATGCCAGCATGGATCCTTATCTGATCATTTTTAATGGCAACTCATTTGTTATAAAGTGAAAAAAACACTCAACAGAGATAACTTATGGTTTTTGAAACAATTCCTGGGCAATTTCGTCATACTAGCAGCTATGCAGAGAAATCCTCAGGGTCTGTATGCTCACTATGCTCAATGAGAATAAAGCCAGAATAATCAATACTAGTCAGTCCTAAAACAGCCTATAAAGGCAAAACTGGACTAGAAGCTACTCACTCAAGCACACAAAAAAACAGTATGTTACACTTAATACTTTCTTTAAGGAGTTAAAATATTATTATTAAAATAAATATCTCAAATATCCACTAACTGCAGATAAATTGACATCTGATAGAAAAGTTTCTTGATAGCCATGGCTGACAAACATTGCACTGAGTTTTTAGGTGAGTGCATTGGTTTCCCTTTTTTAAACTGAACAAATCAAAAAGACTGTACTTCACGTATCTCAGCCAGCGCAATCTGGTGCAGAAACACGGAGATAAACAGAGCACCTTTTAGGTCTGTATAGCTCAGATAGAAGAGCCTCCACTCTGGCTTCTAAAAAGGAAGAAACTAAAGATTTAAGGAAAAGGAAGAAAGGGTTTTAAGATAACAATCTGTGATTTATACCCAAACTATTCAACAGCACCTCCCTCCTTTCCCTCCTGTCAAATATTTAGCTAAATTTTTATTTAATTCCTCCCTTCTTTCAAATACTTAGCTAATTTTTTATTTAATTCATCCCTCCTTTCAAATATTTAGCTAATTTTTAAAATTAAAAGAGCTTGATAAAAAAGGGGAGAAATAGGGCCCAGCGCGGTGGCGCAAGTGGTTAAGGTCCTCGCCTTGCACGCCCGGGATCCCATATGGGCGCCGGTTCTATCCCGGCAGCCCCTCTTCCCTTCCAGCTCCCTGCCTGTGGCCTGGGAAAGCAGTCGAGGACGGCCCAAAGCTTTGGGACCCTGCACCCGCGTGGGAGACCCGGAAGAGGCTCCTGGCTTCGGATCGGCATAGTATCGGCCATCGTGCTCACTTGGGGAGTGAATCATCAGATGGAAGATCTTCCTCTCTGTCTCTCCTCTCTGTATATCTGCCTTTCCAATAAAAAAATAATAAAAATAAATCTTTAAAAAAAAAGGGGTGGGGGGAGAAATAAGGAGATACCTTAGGAAACGTCAGACAAAACTCTACTCGGCTAAAAATTCAAATAAAAAGCTAAAATATGCCTTTTTAAACACATGGATAACCAATTTTAAAAGAGTGTAAAGAAATGTTCACTTTCCCCCAAAGTATCCCATTTTTAACCTGCATCTATCTTAGACTCCAAATACAGCAGCAAGTAGTTTAAACATCAGATGCCACTCATAACTCATAGCATTAGTGACCACTCAAAGGCATCAAAGAACAAACTGTATTATTTTGTTCCACATTGCTATGGCAATGCAGGGAGAGGCAGATCTGATGGCTAAGGACAAATGATGTTTTTCAGTAATGGTTGTAATGGGGTTGAAATATAGTGTCTGAAAACCATGACCTATGAGGCATTTGTAGTCTGGGAAGAAGTTTAATCAAGCTCCCAAAATCAATATTCTTTTGCTGTCAGAATTTCTCCCATCTCTGCGCTCTGATATACACCCCTGAGATGAACTACACTAAGGACAGGAAGGGATGTAAGGGATGCTGAAACAAAAACTGGAAACAGGAAACCTGAAAGTAACAGATGTTGACCTGAAAAGTGCATAGAAACAGACTATTAAGCACATGTGGGAATATACAAATTGAGTGAAAATAAACTACAAATAATTTCAGCCCTCTCACCATATGTTTGTTTAGCCTGAGAAATCTTTAATACAGACCTCTGTCTAAGCAGAGAGAACACTGCCTTTCCAGGTTTGTAGTGATCCATGCGACATGCGTCTTCCTTGTGAGGTGGCAGCTACATCACATCAACGACACGAACTAGATTTGCTAAATGATTCCCACTGTTTGGCAAAGCTCATAGGTCAAAGCACCAAGCACAAAACTCTGTGACATTTTATACTCTTGAAAAAACAAATCTCAGGGGTTTAGCCCTTGAAGCGAGCAGCTGAACTGCTCCCTGGGCCGCAGGTTCTGGGCAGGCAGGTGTCTCAGAGGTTCAGTAGCAGGAGAGTTGGGAGCGGTATAGAAGGGGATATTTGTGTAATGTGGACAGATTGTGCAGAACAAGTGTCTAAAAGGACTAAGGAAGCATGAAAAGTCATCTGTGGAACAGTGAGTTATTCTGGTTGTTTAGGTAAGTCATAAGTGAAAGGATGTGCAAAGAGATGATTTTTAGAACAGCCTTATAAATCTATATATACTAATTAATAAATTGTTTAGAAGTTAGTTGACATACATATCACAGTTATAATAAAACTTATAATAGGAACCATACCACAAGCATGGTTACTAGAGACAGATAAATGTACAAAAAGCTGAACAAAACCAGTTGATCATTTTTTCTCAAACAATAAAATCTGTCATAGAATTTGTACAACATTCAGTATCTACAAGTGTTTGATCATTATCAGCAAGCCTGTTCCATCACGGATGAGCTAACTGAGGCACTAGCAGATTATGGGAGCTCCTTAGTATCACAGGAAATGGAGTAATTGGCTTTACTCAACCCCTGGGATATAACCACTTATTGATTAACATTCAACAAACACTACCTACTATGCTGGGCAATGGCAATTAAAAAAAAAAAAAAGGAAAACTCTCCACTTTATGTTCACACAGAGCCAGACAGGAAAACTGTCAAGTAGACAACTGTCTAACAGTATAGGACAGGGACTCTGGGACAATCTGACTCTGTCCAAGTGCAAATTAGGGGAAATATGGAGGACTAGCATGTTAGCTACACCTTCTAAACAGGAAGAGTAAGTGGGTAGGAAGAAAATGGAAGAAAGCGGAGGGTTCAAGATGAATCAAGGTTAGGAAGATTTTCACGTCAAGGGTTTAAGGCAAAGCATATGGGTTAAGTTGGAGGCCAGCTGCTAGCAATGAGGTAAAGAAAACAACTGAAAGGCTCCACACGGGACAGCGTCACAGTCACGTTCATTTGTTACAAGGAGGGCGACATATTGTAGTATTGTTATTTATAGTATTGTTACTTAGCTTAGAGTTGCTTACTCTGAGGTCCAAAAAACATCAGTTTGGTCTAACTACTGAAGAGACTTAATAATATAAATTCTAGATTCTTAGGAATAAGTTTCAGTATCTAGAATACATACTTTTATAAATACATACTTTTTTCAAGGATTTATTTATTTTTATTGGCAAGTCAGATTTACAGAGTAAAGGAAAGAGAGAAAGATCTTACATACACTGATTCACTCCCCAAATAGTCACAATGGCCAGAGTTGGGCTGATCCGAAGCCCAAGAACCAAAAGCTTTGTCTGCGTCTCCCACGTGGTTGCAGGGTCCCAAGGCTTTGGGCCAACCTCTACTGCTTTCCCAGGCCACAAGGGAAGCTGGAAGGGAAGTGGAGCAGCCAGTATAAGAACCAGTGCCCTTATGGTGTCTTGGGCATACAAGATGAGGACATTAGCCACTAGGCTACTGTGCCGGTTTTAGTATCTAGCCACGTTTTTGTTAAATTGAGGAATAAATATTGCAGTAGAGTAAGTATAGTATGTGTAACAGCATAGTAGGGAATTTAGTTCTCAGTAGCCTAAACCCTTTATTGATTCATTAACCTCTTAAAGTCTGAAACAAATTAGCCACTGCAAAGTTATTTGAAAAATCATCACAGAGTTGATGGGGTCAGTTATTTCTCTTGAAACACACAGAAAATGAGACTCTCAAGTGAGCAGCAGCAGTCAGCAGAACACATAATGACATAAACAGTGATATGATGCTTATTGCTGTCCTTCCACAAAAGGCAGCACTGGAAGAACTTTACCTCATGCCAGTCTTCGAGTTTGTTGTCAGAAAGATCTAGCTCCGAGACATGTGCACAGAAGGCAGCAATTTCTTTCTCGTCTCCTGCACAGGTTATTCCACAGCTGTTGAGCACTAGTACACTTGGGAGATTGAGGCGATCTAAAGTGCAAGAGACATAAAACCCATTGCCCATCAGTCCAACTCTTGTCTACGTGTACTCCGCCCCCAGAAATAGCCAGGAAACAAAAATCAAACTGTGTGAAATTACCTAAGGCCTGGAAAATACAGACGGCCATGGGATCCTAGGGAAGTGAAGCCAAGGAGGAGACAGCCCAGGAAGTCAGGTTTACAAAACCAGTACCACTAAAAATATCCTCCAGCCTTTAACTCTCAGCAGGATTGTGTATTTCAATTACCAACAACTGAGCCACATCCCTGCTCTCCTCTTATCATCCCAACACCAGATCCAGAGTTCAGGCCCAGATCACTACCACCTTCTTACTGGTCTTGATGCTTTCCTTTTTAAACATTCAGGTCAAAGGTTTTCTGGACAGCTCTTTTTTTTCCCCGTGCCTTCACCTTTTGCTGCCTTTGAAAATTACTCCAATCCATTAATCTATCTGCTAAATCTCTTCAAGTTCACATCATTCAAGTCCCTCTCACTTAAATGGATCCATTCTACATCATTTTCTCTCACATTTGTCTGTGAATTCTTCTCTCCTTTATATCTATGTGTAATTTGTCCCTCGTGAAGCTTTCTTTGTAATGGGAGAAAGTGTTTCAGAGTCTTAAAATATTTCAGGCAAAACTCAAATAATTCTGATCACTGCCATTTCCACTAAAAAAATGAACACTCGACTCTAACTACTAATTTCTCATTTGGTATATTAATTTTTATGATAATATTTTAATAGAAACTGTAAATTATATTATTTTACTTTATATTTTGAATATCAAATTTCTCAGAATGAGAATGAATCCTAGAGAAAATGACTAAGAACTAAGTTTATTTTCTGCCACTTTAAGTTGCATGAAATGATAACTGTATAGAGAAATAACAAATAGTCTCTTAAACAGTAACTCCTGAACATAGGAACTAAAACACTCATTCCATATTAGTTCCGCATAATAACAAAAATACTTTTGGTAAGAACTGCTGATTTAACAGTAAGTTAAAAGGAAAATAAAAGTATACCTTGTATATTTCCAGTTACAAAAATTTCTTCACATTTAATCCTTCTCCTAGAACACTTTTCTCTCCACTCTAACCAAAAAAAAAGCTACATTTTTTAATAATTTAATGTATATAAAGAGAATAAATTTAAATTCTAAATTCTTGAAGAGCTAGTCCAAGGCTTATAGTTTTGAATTCCTTCCTAATCATATTCATATTAATTAGGTCCTAAATTTATTTCCCAATCACTATGCTATTCTTTGGCTTAACATACCATACTCTGTATTACACCTTTGTAAAAGTGAGTGTTTTTAAAATCAGAGCTGTTAGGTCCTTCAGGGCATAGCTCAACCTTACACATCTGTCCCCTTCAAGTTCCATGAAAGAATATACATTTGAAATATTGTCACTCAAACATTAACCTTGCCCAATACCTGCAACCAAAACATATTTCTGTTCAATCTGAAACAAAGCAAATCCTATTAGGTTCCAAAGAAAAACAAAAATTATAATCAGTAGGAAAGACTATTTGACTGCTCATTTAAAATAAAGGAAACTCTTCAAAACAAAGGCATATTGTAAAGACTTCCTACCTAAGCTTCAGTAAGTGAGTACTTAGGTCTCATCAGTCTTACCTTTCATAGGAGAGCCCTGAGGTGTGGCTGGGACATGGACTCCCATCCCAGGACCACGGCGGTAAGGAAAGTTCTCTGGACTGTATTTTTCACATAATACTTGCATAAAGCTTCTTCCGCTAGGCTGATCCATCTTTCCTTCCTAAAATTCTGTAAGAAACCAATAAATCAAATTATTAATTAGTTATATAAAAATATTTATTGAAAACCAATGGTTCATATAGCATTAGGCTAGGTATTGCAGACATACAATCCATGGTCTCTATCTCATAAGATATTACAATTCAGGGAAGCTTCATATGTACACAAATGATGGCAATAACTATTCTGCACACAGTATTTACAATACAGAGGGAAATGCTATGAGATTTAAAGAGGAGGTAATCACTTTATACCAACCGTAACAACTCAGGAATGGAGACTTTATGTGATAGTTGAGCAAAGGGCTGAAAAAGGTTTGAACATTTCGCTGAACAGTCTCAGTGACTTCTTTAATATCTATATCTCAAAATACAGTCTCTCCTTCCGTAATAGAAGAAACTTCAGCTGTATACATGTCTGCCTGCATACAAACATGAATATATGACTAGTTCTAGCTGACTGGATCAAAATAAAAACATTCTGGGGCATTTTCCAGAAATCATCCTTAACAGAGAGCCAGAGTATGCCATCTGCCTTCCTTTTTTATGTTTTATTGTATGTTGCTGCTTAGAATACAGATGTTGTCTTAGCCCATTCACCCAAGCAATGGGACAAAGGGCTGAAAGGGGTCTGAGTCCATCACAGCAAACAGCCACACAGTATACTTTTGGGGCATTTGAGTGACAGAGAAATAATCCATTTTATAAGTCACCATTCTTTTCTCTGTGTGTGTGTGTGTGTGTGTGTGTGTGTGTGTGTGTGTGTGTGTTTCAACAGTACTGACTTAGCTAATACAGAATGTCAGTGGTTCTACGGTTGGGTAACCTGAATTATGGGTCCAAACATTCAGCATTTGGGGCCTGGCATGATGGCTCAGAGGCTAAAATCCTAGCCGCAAGGAATCCCATATGGGTGTTGGTTTGTGTCCTGGCTACTCCACTTCCCATCCAGCTCCCTGCTTATGGCCTGGGAAAGCAGCAGAGGATGGCCCAAAGCCTGGGAACCTTGCAACTATGCACGAGGCCCAGAAGAAGCTGCTGGCTCCTGATTTCAGCTCAGCTCAGCTCTGGCTATTGAGCTCACAACGGGAGTGAACCAGCAGATGGAAAATCTTTCTGTCTCTCCTTCTCTCTGTAAATGTGTCTTTCCAATAAAAATAAATAAATCTTTAAAAAAATATTCAGCAACTGTGGTATCATCTCAGTGTTCATGCCTTTGTTAAAACAGGTACAATTCACCAGCATGCCAAATTATGATAGTCTGAGAACCCAGTAACTTCAGAGGCTGACCTACAGTATGTATTAACTATCAATCAAGTCAGTATAACTGCCCTGATTCTAAAGATCATGCATCAAGCAATTTTATTAAAAACAATCATAAAAGCATAGAAAGTATTAAAGGAAGATAGGATATCATGGGGAAAGTAGAGCAATGAGAATGAACAATGGTATTTGTAAGTAACTATTGGGCATCTAGAGCTGGCTTAAGCAGCACAGCCATAGAAGATATCATATGAAGTATCTAAATGGGAAACTCAGAGATCTGTGTGCCACTTAAGGAGACTGATCTTTATCTTACAGAAAACAGGGAAAAACAAAGCTTTTCATGGAGAAAACACCAAAAGAATTTAAGTTTTTGTTGTTGTTTAATGAAAAATTAACTCTGAGTCTAACATTGTGGCACGTCACATTAAGCTGCTGTCTGCAACACAGGCATCCTATAGGAATTCCAGTTGCTCCACTCCCAGTCCAGCACCTCACCTATGGGCCAGGGAATGCTACAAAAGAGGATTTGAGTGTTTAGGTCCCTATACCTATGTGTTAGACCTAAAGGGAGTTCTGGAATTCTAACTGATTTGTGGCCATTATAGGAGTGAATCAGCAGATGGTAGATTTCTCTCTGTCTCTGTTTCTCTCTGTCACACACACACACACACACACACACACACACACACACACACACACACACACACACACACACACACACACACATCTCCAAATCCCCTCTAGAGAGTCCTCTCTCTGCTAACATCCAGGATAATCTGAATAAAAAAGAGGGGGATTTGGTGCAGGCTCCATGAAGTACTCATGACCAGGTAGCTGTGTGCCCTCAGGTAAGTCACCCCATTCCTCAGGAACTCAATGCCTTCATCTATAAAATATGGTACTAACATCAATACTACTTGGATTTCAGGTGTGCTGCTGGGACCTAAAATGTATAAAGGTGTTGTTTATATTACAGGGTTCTCCTTAAGCTGTAAAACCTATAAGAGAAGGTGTTAGCAAGTAAAAAGCACCTGGAGTTAGGGAATTAAGACTCCCTCACTAGTTGGGTAGAGTTTGGTAAACTTGGGCTGGTCATCTACTAATTTTCTCATGGATGGACAGCCTAAACCTTTTTCTCAGGTTTGCCAAAAGAATTTTTTTAAAAGCAGGATCATAAAAGTGGTCATTGACCATGGTTGATGTCCTATCATGTCTACTGAATTGTGTAAAATCAATTTATACATGCCTGGAATACACCCATCCATTGGGCACATGTCCAGCCATAAAACAAAGGTTGTATACATTTATTATTTAGCAATGTTTGGCCATGGAATACATTTTATAACGAGTATACTACACATAACCTTGGAAAAACAGGGCTGCTCTTTATGCAAGATACTTATTTGTGGAACTGGTATTGTGGTATAGTGGGCTAAGCCACTGATTTTGAGGAGGCATTCCATATGGGTACTCATTCAAATCCAGCTAATACACTTCCAATTCAGCTCCCTGGGAAGGTACTAGAAGATGGGCCAAGTATTTGTGATGCTCATATGGAAGACTCTGATACAGCTCCTGTATCCTGACGTCATCATGGCCTAACCCTTGTCAGTTTGGTCAGGTAGGGAGTGAACAAGCAAATGGAAGATCATTTATTTCTGTCTACCCATCTCTCTGTGTAGCTCTGCCTTTCATATACACAAGTAAATGCTTTTTTTTAAAAAAAAATCCTTATTTGTAAGTCTAGAATAGAATCTATGATAGTACAAGACGGTGTGTTCTTTCCAACCACATAGAGTGGAAGTGTCCACTTAGCTGCTCTATTTCAACACTGTTTGTGTCACTGTACTGTCTTCCTTTAGGACTTCAGAACCTCCAAGATGAAAAGCCTTTCTTCCATGAAAACTTCTCACCACCAACAGCAGAAAACAAAGCAGTGCCATGCCACTAACAACAGGCAACATGGCTTCTATCAAAGACCAGTCTCAAACAGGATTCCAACAGAATCTTTACAAATGCTTCACAAAAAACTCAAAGAAGTTGCATTGCTATTTTTCACAAAATTGGCAGATCAAAAGAATAAAAAGTGTATGTGTATGTGTTGTAGAGGGAGTGTTAACACTTGTAAAAATAATGGTCAACAAGTGTTAGCAGCATATTTTATTTTGATGTTTCAAAAGTACTTCAACTCAAATCTGTACCATTCAGTGCAGTAATCTTACACATTATTTAAACACAGAGCAATGGCACAGTCACTTGATCTTAGCCAAAAGGCCGAGAAGTGATAGTACTGGCACATTCAAATTAAAATATGTCCTAGTAGGCAAGCAAATCTGGCGACTTAAGTTTTCCTCAGGGCCCAATGTTTTAATATTTCTTGCAAACAAATTTGTCCTTTATATGTATATTTTCCTAATTTTCCTTTTTCTAAAATTGAAAAACAGCATGCACCTTCATTGGTCATTTTCCAGGATATTCTATTGCACTTGCTTTCCAGGAATGCAGAAGGTGTGCATATTAATACATGAGTTTTGAATTAGAACATTTAGACTGAAAAATGGAATAGTAATATAAATCTACTCAAAATCTGTTGGGACAGTTTGAGAAAGAACAACAGGTGGGAAAGGAAGGTTGAAAACCAAACGAAATGAAAAATGAGGAAATACAGGGCAGAAAAATGTCTTTAACTGGTGTCATTTAAAAAGGGTTTTAGGTGCAAGTGTGTGGGGGGCAGCTTCTTCTATGACATTTTGGAAGTAACAGGTATCAAATCACATTACTCTACCTCTAGAGTTGGTTATTCTAATGCATTTGTAAAAACGTTTCAAATTGGTGCTTACAGCCGGGCAGCCAGGAATCGGGTGCTATCCCTTTGTTCCATTACCAGGAAGTGGAGTACGTGTGAGAAAAATTCAATTTCCTTTGTGCCTCAAGATTCTGACTATCATGTCCTCTTGTCAGGTGCTTAGAAAAAGTCAGGAGAAAAGTTGGAGGATAAACTACTCAGAACAGTTCTGTCAAGTGGATTTATATCAGAACAAAGCATCCAATCACCTAAGCACTCTCAATTGCTATTAAATCGTTTGTACTTTGGGCTCTCAACTAAAGGGTTAGCTCAAAATTAGTATGGAATCCAACATAGCTGAAAAGATAAAATATGACATGTCTGACCTCTAACCCCAAAAGATACTTAAGATACAGGCTTACGCAGGTGTGCCAGTGTGGAGTAGCACCTCCAGAAAGTTCGCACACTGCCAGCCTTACACACAACTTCCAAAAGACATAAATTCTAGCCCATAGAATGACAAGGTAAAATTTTTAGTCTTATAAAAATAGATTGATGTGTTTGTGGATAGCTAGAATGCCTCCAGAAGGAAAAAACAGAAATAACATAAAAGCAGTATGAGAGAAGAAATGAGAAACCATGTAGAAAAGATATTTATTCACTATTGTTCACCTGTCAGAACCACTTGAGTTTATCAGATACATACATCATCTTTTCAAAGTACAAAATATTTTTAACATATTTGGGAATGATCTATTGACACAAAGAGTTTCTTATTTCCTTATTATTACGAAGTCCCTTAAAATCCAAATTGGAAATTTTGTATATGGAGTTTACAGTATTAAAAATAATTTTAAGGAGTCTAGCACAATGGATTAACTGGCTAATCCTCCAAGTGCCAGAACACTATATGGGCATCACCAGTTCATGTCCCAGCTGTTCCACTACCCATTATGCTC